GCTCAGCTGTTGCCTGACCGTGAAAGTCGTATCTAAACTAGCAATCCTGAAGCTGCAGGCAGTTGCCCATGGGTTTTCTTCCAGAGACTGGCAATAATTGAAATAGATCCATCATTGGAGATGTTGCGTATGTCTTGGCATGGGTTCAGCTGATGAAGGATGGTAGACACGAGAGATCAATTTCAAGGTTGGAAGTCGTTGAACGCCCAGACCACACGCACATGACGCGATTGGATACTTATTAGTCCAGAATATTCTTCAGAGAAGAGTAATCCCGAGCATAGGAAGAAGGGCTCTTAGTCTGTCTAGCTACCCTAGTTGAGCGGGTATCCTATCTATCAAGCGACGAAGTATACCATGAAAAACCATGATCGATTGCGGTTAATAACATACCCCATGAAGTGAAGAACCATTGCCCTTAATTTTACAAAGACATGGGAGCCAATATACACATGTTATACACTCTTAGCCTTCCATCTAATGCTCCAGAACCACTGGCTTCCCCTTCTCCCACCCATCAAGACTATCCTTAATATTAACCCAATACCTCAACCTCACCGCCTCCGCTTTCGCCTGCTCCACATCGTCCCTCTCAAACGCCTTCTCCAATACCCTTACACTCTTCTCAATTCTCCCATCATTCTCAATCCTCATGTCCCTCAAATCCTCCTCTGACTCCGCTTCCTCAATCCGCTCCCGCGTCTCTAGCACCTCCATCAACAGCTCTGGATCCTCTACCTTCGCCGTCTCATCTTCATGTATATCTATCCCACGTAGCGAAAGTAAATATTGCGCGCGAAGTAATGGTGACTTGAGCGTCTTATACGCTTCATTTATCCGAGCCGACAACGCTTGCGCTTTATTCTTATTCTCCGGCGCATGTAAATCCGGATGCGCTTTTGCTTGTAACTGCAGAAACTCCTTTTTGAGAGCAGGCAAGTCGATAGAGAAGCGGCCGTGGGGTGGCGGGCCGGCGGGTAGCGATCGCGGGAAGAAAGTGTAGTGCGAAGGGGATTTAATCGGTTCGCCTCGAGACGATGAGGTCTGGGATGTGAATTGTCGCCGACGGGGAGTTGTTTTGGAGGGAAACAGGTTTGTGCATAATAGACATGCTGCTGGTCTTTGTCGCGCGCGGAGTGGCGCGGTGGATGCGTCGGAGGTGAGGGATGCGCGCAGCCAGGAGATGGCTGCTGGGGAGGCGGGACGCATGTTTTGTGGATTCAAATAGATGGTTTTGATGGATAACAAGTCTGGGTATATATAGAGGATGTAGTTGCAAAGGTGAAGGGTCGGATGGTGTTTTTGATGTTTGATTTTGCGGAGAGCGAGGTCGGAGGCGAGGATTTCCGCCTGAGCCTCGTTTTCTATAAAGTTACTCAGATGTATTTATTCAGTGTCAATTTACCACCAAACTCAGGAGCAAACCGAATGTCTTCCGTTAGCTTTCTTATAGGGTAATTCAAAACGAAGCCATCAGCCGACTCATTGGACAAGAAAGAAGGACATCAAAGCAAGATCTTTATTTGAGCGAACAGAATTAGGTCAATCTACCCTCATAAACAACCTCAGAATTTAGGTTCTTGTTCGTCTTTGAGTTTCTGTTTTCGTTCTGGTTGTACCACATAATTCTCAATGGCTCTCAGCACCTTTTCTATGGCAGAAAATTCTTGACGAGCACTTCCAGACTTCCAACCCGCCATAATTTCGAGTGCTCCCGGGTCGTGAAGCTTGATTGTAGGCTCCCAAGGCTCTATCGAGCCCCTAGTCTCCAGTCCTTGAATCATCCAATTGATCTCTGGCAACATCCAGTTCATACTTCCGATTTCCTCCCAAACCAGTCGGTGCACTACTGACAGGACTGCTAGCTCTCATTTTGTATATCCGCGAAGTTCGCCTGTTGGGCTAAGTATTGATTCTCCTTCTGAGAGATAGGTAAACATAGAAACTCTGACTCATTCTGTAGCCCATCTATCCTCGAATATCGTACACCATCTCTCAGGCGGCAGGAAGAGAGGTCTCAGCGGGAAGTGAACGGGCCCTGGGCGGGGGGAATCATAATCTGGGAAGATAAGGGGGTAACTCGAGAGGTTGACTGTGGAGCCGGTGCTTCCTGGGAGGGTGATTGAAATGACTGACATGTGATCGACATTAATTCCATTTTCCCATACTCATCCAACCAGCACATAAATTCCTAGTCTTTCTTCGACTGCGTGTATGCTTCACATTTTGCCTGGCTCTGTGCCACCAATTCAGCCGTTACGCTGTTGAATCGTCTGGCACGGTATACCGCAAAGCAATGTGTCCAGTGGAAGCACCAATGTTGACAGCTCCAATTGAACGAGCCTGGATATGAATAGCCTGCAGCTGTTTGGAGCGAAGTGCAGCTATCAATCCAAATATGCTCCCAACGAGAAGGCTATCGTCGTATGTTGTCATTCTACTATGTTCCCAGAATCGAAAAGGAGTCCTTTCTATTCCAGCCCTCTCAAAATTCGAGAGTCAAGATATCGATCTCTACACCAACTGGTGCATGTAGCAAGAGTACCAAACACAATAGTGCATGCAGCGGCGGATTTTAAAAAAATTCCCAGGTCGCGCCAGCCGAACGCCCACTTCCCACCTGTATAAATACATGTCCAGACAGTGGACATTAATGTGACACCTGGCAGGTTGAAATTCGTATAAAAAGGTTCCGGTCTGCGTAGAAAAATCGGATTCTGCCCTTCCTCTACACTACACATTAGTATTTCGACCTTTATGGAGTATATTTGTTGACACTTACCAGCTGGGATCAACAATGGGACCATGGTGATGCCTCAGCCCAAAAAAAAAAAAAAAAAAAAAAAAAAAATTTTTTTCTCAAATCAATCAGCTGTATGAACACGATATATATTTTGGAAGGATTGGTAAGGACGGAGAAGTTGCTCATATGATGGTGATAAATGAAGAGAAACCGCCATAGGTGAGTAAGGGAGGTTGAAGTGTGTCTCTTGCGACCAATTCGAGGTGACACAAACAAGGGGGTCGCAAATCGGACGCTTGCATATAGGGCATAGAAAAGCAACACACCAAATATTATAAGTTTAGCAGAGCCCATGGCCAAATTCTCGACATAGTGTGGTACTACAGAGCTATTTGTGGTGCTAGATTAGTATCTAAGCAGGCACATCTCAGTTTCAACAAACGCCAGAAGCCAGTACCCAAATTCGTAATCCAGTCTTATCCATAGTTTTATCACTCTTCTATGCCATATGTAGCTTGTTCCATGTCAATATCACCTGTTCTCCTCTGATTATGTGAGAAGTTGGAAAACTCGTCCAACAACGCACTGCTCAGCTTATATCTCCAATCGGGGAATCCCCATTCTTGACTTTGTTTTCAAAGTATTTCAACAGGCGTTCAGTGGCTTCAAGGTTCTTTCGGTGCATTTTTAGCTGCTGTTGAAGTTCCTGTCGATCCCGGGGTGGAATGTTAGGATCACGCACAGCCCGTTCTAGTGCAGCGACACCCATCTTTACATTTTCCCAGTGTTCGCGAATGTCCGAAGTAGGGAGATGTTGGCTATACCGGCTCCGCCGGCTGACGAAGCTCTGTTGAACCCGAATTCATCTTTTTCGACTGTTTAAAGTACCTCCCTGTATCTCTTTAATACCACCCTACAAGGGATAGTTGAAGCCAAAGCGTCTGAGAAATCGAGGAAAGTAGTTGCAATTCTCATCGAACAATGTCTTTTGCACGATCCTCATTCGGCAAACGGTAGAAATCATGTTCCGTTCTTGCTAATCCTTGCCAGACATATTCCAATTTGATGGTGAGTATTCTGCTCAGCTTGTCAAGTATCTTACAATGCTCGCCAAGGGACTGCATACCATCCTCACCGGGGCTCCACAGAAATGATCGCACTTTTTTGGGAATCGAGGCAGAAACCAGCGGAGATAGCGGCGCATTAGGTCGAGAATTGTTCCGAATTGTAGATCGATTAAGCCAAAAGTGCACTTCCCAAGCATCGGCAGCTCGGTCCAGAGAGCCTTATCTTGCTGCAAGCGCCAGCCTTCAGCCTTCATCCTCGCCTCTTGTTCAAGGCGTTGCGCGTCAGCAGCGTGCCATACTTCGTTTAGAATGAATCGTTTGCCAGTGTGCGCGCCAAAAGTCCACCCCACAGAGACTGCCCCAACATAACGACTCCAGCCAGTGGCACCTTGAAATGATTTGGAACGCATTGCGAAAAGCAATCCGACTCCTCCACCAACTAAAGCAGTCATCCATGCTGCCTTGCCACTGTTTTCCCAGCCTTTCGCAGGTGCAGGCTCGATGCCTGCTCGGTTGTATACAGAAGGTATAATAAATCGCTCTTTCGTCTAACTATTGAAGGCGAAGTGGAGACAGTGATCGTGGAACAGAGGGCGACGGAGCGCAGAAAAGTGCCTTGTCAGGATTTGCCTAGGAATGAAAGGACGCCCGTAACTCTACCTCCCAAGAGACAAGCATTGGAACTTCCGTCCGTGAGATTGATCCGTGCGCCGAAGAAATCTGGATAACGTGGTGCGATGGGAAGTTATCCTTCTCCTATGGCACATGGTGGGTTTCGAGGACACGAAGGGCTTAAACCGTGGGCTTTTACCTGTAGAAACGAACAAGCGCACCATAGCTGAAAGGGTGTAGTTGAGATAAGAAAACTCTAAGTGTGCCACCAAACGTCTTCTAAATGCGACAGAGTAAAGCAATTGTTGCTAGTATCCGTGAAGGAGATGATGAAATTCACGAGGCCCTTGTTTCAAGGGCGCATGAACTCCAGCCACAGCTCCTTGGACCAGATGGTTGGCGCCATACGTTTCAAGGGATACTGAGCGATTCGCGACGGATGAGTGACTAGTTGAACTCAGGCTGAAGGATGAGAATTTTAAGCTCCACTTGCTCCGATCTGTTGGGGCAGTTTTTTGAAATATAATTATTTGTGCATATATAAAATCTAAGTCATAGAACCTTCATTCATCAAATCCGGTCTTGTGGTCTAGTGGTATGATTCTCGCTTAGGGTATACCCTGAGTCAATTGATTGCGAGAGGCCCCGCGTTCGAGTCGCGGCAAGACCCTTTTTTTGGGCCCTTTTTATTTTTTACTTTTTAAAAAACACTTCCCCATTTGCCTAGTCTGAAAACGCCGCAGTAGAGTTGTGAGATTTGGAAGATGTTGTGTTTAGCGAGGCCGCGACATGGTAAACGAGAGAAAGCCGATCATAACACACCTCCACTCAATTTTTGGCTCGCCCAAACACATGAACAATTTTCCCCATTCCATCAAGGGTCTGAATATTTGAAGGAACCAGTGCTAGAGCATTTGAATAGTGATTTTGGCATCAAATCAGTGATATAGCAAAGGTCACACCCCTCACAGCTGTGCTGTCGATCTTTCCATATCTTTCATATGAAAATTTAACCATGCGCAAATGCAATACGGTTTAAGTTTTCAAGACAAGACCAAGGTCCGAACCATATGAAAGCACCATTTCCAGAGCTGGAAGGCAAGAATGCAAAGTCCAGTTAAGAAAAAGCAGAAACAGGATGGAGAATCTTTTGGCTGATGTATACGGGGTATTTGCGACCTCAGAGCTATTTTAAGGGTTCAACAAGGGTGCCAAAAGTCGTCTCTGGAGCATATGAGGGAGTTAAGCATCAGAGGAAGTATGTTTTTGGTTCTATTCTATCCTGGCCTACTTGGCCATAAGGGGTTTTGTTTCATTTAGTCTGAAGAAGTGAGACTTGGAACTTATTGCCAGGTACCTAAAAATTACTTGAGAATTAGTGCTAGCTACTTCTACTTCCCAGGCAGCGTCTTCATCGATATCTATTCCCATCGTCATTATCACCATTGTCCGGCAAGATGGTGCGTAGATAGCCAACCTCTAGCTCCCGTGCGCTCTTGTTCTTGATGTCTGTAAGCACTTCGGGCATTATCTGCTCCTGTAGCCGTCTACGCGTATTCTCTTTTGTCACTGCGAAGCACACCGTCGAGTCCGGTGGTAAGGGCGGTAGATTGGTCGTCGATACACATCTTCAGCGCTCGTCGGCAACCTCGAATAGCGCCATGGCCTCGTAGAGATATCTTCGTGTTAGTGGACACTCCAATGCGCTCAACGAGATTATTTAGTGCCCTTTCTTGAGCCACGTACTCATCATGGCCTCGCAGGCGTGACACTATCTGCTCCTCAATCTTCTGCAGCAAACTCGACTCGCCACTTTCCGCCAAAGGCCCCCGCGCAAGGTTACTTTGTCTGAAGAACTCTGAAATCTGTTGTCTCGTCAAGCCACTCCCTAGTGATCGCACCGCTGAGATGTCCATGTAGGCCAGGCTTTCATGATCGCAGGTGTAAATTGCATCGCCATCACGACGATGGGCCGCCAACTCCTTTGCAATCTCCGTACCCTGTGTTCGCCTCATCTCCGTAATCGCCGTCCTCCTAAAGCTGTACATCGTGTTCCTCTGGAGTAATCCTATGGCGCGGCAGGTCTTCTGGAGCTTCGGATTGAGTGCTGCAATACGCATGGCTTTGTCTTCGATGATGCTGTTGTTCCTGTCCACGGCAAGAAAATGGGTCTCGTACTGATTTCTGGGTTGATGCGCATGTATACATCTGAGTCGGAAAGTAGAGTGTCAAGGGAGCGATCGAATAGGCCTCGGTTCATCGCCAGTCCGAGCAGCATGAGGGAGAGGTCGAGTTCAAATCGGCCTCCGCTCACCGGAATGAGCATAATTTTCGTCGCCCTTCAACGGTCTTCTGGAATTGCCGGTCACGATTGCTTTTGAGATAGCGAAAAGTGATCCGGACGGCAATACCCACATCAGGCATGCGGCTGAATTCGATGTCTTCCCAGTGGAGGGTTTCGTCAATCTCTTTCAGCTTACCCAAGAATCCAAGAGGTGCCCCAGCTTGGTATTCTTTGCCCACAGTGTAGGAGCCGGATCTGACTCCAGTAGTCCAAGCCGGTAGCCATGCAACGTAATGTTGCTTGAGGTGGCAACCCCCCGAGACTGGCTATCAATATATGAAAGAGAATGGAAAGCTCCATATCCATCAAGTATATTTTTTCCAGCGTTCGGACCTCGAGCTCCTCTTTGTTTGCAACGATGTAAAGATCGGCGATCGTCCTTGCTCCCAGCGCCCAGCCATGAAGCAAGTTATCAATGAGGCATGTTGCCCACCAGCAAATTGCAGACCTGGCATACCGGAGTACCCTGGCCTGAACCCGCTCGCCAATGTTTCCTGGAGCTATCATCGAGTGTCCACTAAGGTAATCCTTCGTCCGGTCGATGATGGTCTGCGAAGTTCATATCTGAGCCTGCTGAGCGAAATCGAACTTTTCCGCGACATAGTATTCAAAGTTATTGGAGTGCATTCCTTGACGTTTTCGCGTATCGGGTGCATCTCGGTCATAGAATTTCGAGCGTTCAATCTACCTTTGATCCGCTTTTGCTGATCAGGATCCGTAAGTAGGGGCGTCTAGTTTGCGCTTTGTGCCTGTAGTAGGCCCTCTACGCGAGGGTTGTGCTATCGTATCTAATGAAGAATTAGTCGTTGTATTGTGATGGGTGAGGGTAGAGACCATGTCTTGTTTGATGGTAGTGAAGAAGCTTGCAAGCGGCTTTAATTGATAGGCGAAGTGGTGAGAATCGTGAGTAGATGCACTCAACTGGAGTGACTTGTTAGAACGTAGAACTCTAGATGGTGAGGAAGTCTTGACACCTGGGCAGGCGATGTGGTGAGACTCATAGGCAATTGCACTCAATTGGGGTGCATTGCTAGAGCATAGGACGCTAGATGTTGAGGAAGTCGTAGAGAAGCGCCAGAGGAAGACAGAATTTCCGAGAAGTTTGTAATGTGGTGCGATGGGAAGAGTGGTAGATGAAACTGCATGAATGAAGGGGTGAGAATTAAATACATGGGATGGCAAGGTGGGCGCATCTTACGATCTCAATCAGAGTTTATCGGCTAGAAAAGTCACGGAAGGGCGGCATCCGACTGACTAGGAGGGAAGGAAGGCGTGCTTGAGCAGGGAGGAAGTCTGCTCATTGCGGGAGGCACGACCTTCGCCACCGCCCTCAACCTCCAGCTCCAGCTCCCCGCCATATCATCATCGTACACACTCCCAACACCAGTTCAGCGTCCTGTGTTTTGTCCAGGTTGTCGCCAGAATGGAATCTGACTTGGAATACGTTGACGAGATGGATACCGAGACCAACACCTCGAGCGACGTACACACTGACGACAATTCTAGTCAGAGAGCGACATCTCCATCGCAGCTTCCTCCAAAGAAAACCAATCAAGAAACAGTGGTATCCATCTCGCAGTCGCTACAAGAGTCCCCGCAGAAGCCAGCGCTTTCGGTTGAACAATTTACGGCGTTATCGCACGAGCGAATGCAGGCGGTGCTTAAAGCAGAAGGCATCCCTCGTACAGGTACGAAAGCTGAACTTGTGAAGCGGTACAAGAAGTTTCTAGAATCGGAGTCTCTGGATAAGGTGTATCTCGCTACCTGTGATCCTTGTATCATGTATAACGGGAACTAATTCCTGACATAGGAGAACCAACTCGATAAGGGCTCCGACAACGTAATTGCATCTACACCACAGCTCAACCTGCTCCTGTTCCAACGACTAAGAAGTGTGTCATCAATAACGACGCTGTGTTTGAGAGTCCTAGACTACCCCCAACGATTCAGAGAAGGACCCGTCACTGAGCTCTGTTTCGAACCTTCTTAAACCAGTTTTACATCTCTTGATCCTCTACGAGAACACTTTGGAAACACTCGACCTTAGCTGGAATCACGCCGAAAATATCGAACAGCTACACGCTATCTCGATCCGCCGAACCGGCATCGTCAAGGCACATCAAAAAGTTGCACTCCTTCTTTCAGTGCCTTGGAATGGAGGTTGAGAAGCTGGAGGTTGAGGAGCAGGGGGTAGAGGAAGATGCCGGTTCTAGTGTTGCGATTATAGCCGTCGATCTTGACAACGGTATGTATTCTCAAATCGAATACGAGATAGCTGTTATTAAGAATGCGGTGGCGTATTCCCTCAATGAATGACTTAGGATATCTCCGGAACCGCCAGCCTCTCAAGTGTCATTCCCAAGGGACTACACGCGGAAGGAGAGGACTTTGATGAGGGAGTACGTGACAAGGGTGCTTGATAACGATGTTCCTGGAGTCTGGTATAAGGGGGTGGCGGAGGCTGTCGAGGAGAAAGTAATAGACCACCTGTTTGAAGAGAATACCTGTCCAGTGGCAAAAGGCAACCAGAGGTCTGTGCTCCAACTTGTTTTCCGTAGAATATGGCAGGACCGGGCCCGGCTACTTGAAAGGAAGCGGGAGAGGGGCGACGACCGGAATAGTGACGACGAAGGCAGCGACGGAGAAGGAGAGGACAATGAGTGAGCTATCTGAAGAGCATGTAGATCGCGCAACGGTTCGATGTTTAGGAATATTTCATATTTAACGGGTATCAAAGCTAACCTCCACAGACAAAGTGTGATGAAAAAGGTCATTACCTGCTGCTTTTCGTTTGTCAACTTCCCGAGAACCCCTTTGAATTCCCTTGACCCATTTCAAAGTATAGGTCCATCTCACCTGTCTATCCTCATGCTCTAATCATCGAGAGATCCAAAGACAATGGAACACATTGGATGGTCGCCAAGGAGTGCATCCGGGAGGAAGCCTTGAAACCAAAATTTCGGAAGTAGGACAAAGATGCAACAGCTGAGTAAACCAGGACGCGGTTTTTATCGCTGGCGGATGATTTCTAGTACAGGCCGGTATCAGTCGCAGCGGAGATGCTGTTGAACAGGAAGAGTGATTGCGCACCTGTAAGGAATTCCTCACTGCGGACTAAATTAGCAAACACTCAAACGCACCACGCCGCCATATGCCTCACCCTTCTCACTCATCACAGACTCCCCAATCACACAAGGAAAATAAATTAGAATAGGGTTGTAAAACTTACAAACTCAGCGTAATATACCCATCTCGATCCTCATCGTACTTCTTGAACACGTCCGTCATACGTTTGAGGCTGATGCACGCTTGCACAAACAAATCAA